CTAGTAGTAACAAGAAGCTATTAGAAACAAGTGCATCGCTACTAGTACCTTCAGGACTCACTATGTTCTGTGAATCTGCACAGGGTCCTCCCAACACAAAACACTGCAGGTTGGGATCCAGTCGTACGCCTTCTCAGGTACGGTGATGTGTTCGACACTATTATGTATAGGTGGTAGGTTCCTTGCTGTTCAACGATTTCCCCTTTGTCTGCGTGGCATGCCTCCATCACGGCCATTTCGCCATATCACCAGAGCAACACCCTGCTGATAACACCCAGTGAATCCCGTCCATGCCCCCACATCAAGCACTGGCCAACAACATTATATACTATAAAGCTATATCTGTTTGGTTTGGTAGCAAAGCAGGGTCGTTGGAATCCATGCTTAAGTATGCTTAAGTGCCAAGACCCAACAGGCTTACGAGCTTACGAACTTTATTTACCATAAATCTACTTAGTATCCCAATACGCAAACTACTATGGTGGATCCAAGATGTTTTCCCATCGACTGTCACCGTGACCCTCCAAGACTTGGGGTGTAGATGAATGCTGCAGGATATCCCAAAAGGATGACTTGGTTGGCCCCTCAAAGGACGGACCTTTGGGCCATGAATCGCCCTATCAACGGGCTCCGAGTTCGGCCCGATTTTCGGTGACCAATGGTTGGACCTGCTGGCACCCACCCACCCCAACCATTTTTGAAGCGGAGGGAGCGGCCAGCCCTCGGGTAAGACCAGCAACCTTGTTCCGTGGACCAACCACTTGTTCGGTGGCTACTCTCCTCCTTGCGCTTTCAGGAGCTGGTGCAGCAAAAGCACCAAATGGTCCTCCCGGCGGCAGGGAAGTTGGGTCAGAGCCGAAAACCAAGGAGTGGGAGATTATTTATGGGGTGGGTGCCAGGCGGGTCCAACTACCTTCTGAGGATATGGCCAGGAGCACTAGGGTGGCACGCTTTCCAATTCATTCTGAACGTGGGGATTTTACTTTTAAAAATATACATCAATATACACTATTTGCAACAATCATGGAAGTGGAGTTCCTGTTTGTAGAGGATTTCATTTTCCAGCGGCCATGCCATCCACCTAACCATGATTGTTGCAGGGAGGGGAATAAGGTGTCGGAAGTCACTTTGTTAAGGTGTTTTTGTCGCAACTGTGGATGAGGAGTGGAGGCACGCCAAGGGTAGAATCAATATCCCGTCAGGGAGTTTATATATATATATTTATATATCGTTGTGCCAGCCCAAAGATCCAGGGCAAAGTGACAAACCGACAACTACCATACAAAATTAAATGATGTGTGTCCCATGTTTCATCTCTACAAATTAAGGCAGGCATTTGCGCACGATATTGATTGTTCTATACATCATGCATACTAATGCCCTATATGCCCTATGACCCGAACCAAAGCCGCGGCCGAGTGGCGCCCCCTAGGCTGCGCAGGCGGCGGATCTGGCTGCCCTGGAGGTCCGCGTGAGCGCCAAAAGCCACGAGGCTCAGATCAAGGCGGGTGGGGTCGAGACCGGGCCTCGAAGCGGAGCGGAATCGATGTGACTGGAGTGACGTTTTCGTGATGTGAGAGCGAATCGAAAGTGGATGGAAGCTGACGTTAGGTCAGAGAAGTGGACTAGTTAGCATTGGGGTGTGGTATTCCTTCGCTGTGAATGCTTTGCTGGTGACCCGTGCGGTTTATTAGTGGGTGGCTTCACCACAAAACGGGTTAATTACTGAGTTGTTCACCTGACTTGAACGTTTGAACGCAGTCCGCAGTATCATTTGATCCATTTGGTTGCCGTTTCGTGGACAGGAATCCACAGGAGTGGTAAGACACATGTGCAGGGCATAAGATCAAAACAACAACCAAGAATCGTTCTTCTACTTCAGGGTTCAGGTAAAACGAGTGGCATGAGATGATATTTTAATACAGAAGACACAAAGCAATGATTGTTGATCACAAACGTGCTCTGAACTCTACCAAGACCCTCAGGATCCTTTTCTATTTGATCCCTTTGACCAGCCACTGAGTGGATTTGGGCACCTTTTGGCTCACTCGTTTGCGGTCACGGCGAGCTTCAGGACGCCTTGCTGAAGTGTTTGCAAAAGGCCAGGTCTGGGGGCTCCAGGTCTGGGGGCGCCCAAGTAAGTTGGGCGTTCAGTGGTCCAAAAGGTAACAAAGCGAGCCGAACCCTCAAAGGTTCTTTCAAAGATCAAAGCGGATCGTGGTGCAGATCAATAGGTCTAGGAAAATGATTAGGAAATTGAAGGACACCCAATGACATCCACGTTTGGTTAGCCCTGAGGCCGATGTTGAAGAAGATATATAACTGTTCATCCTGGGATAGTAGGGAACCCAAATTATAGGCATATCATAGAGTGTTCGAGGTCCTGCAAGAGTCTATCCATCGACGGAGAAGATTAAGGACAACAAGTGGATGATGGTGACAGACAGCTTTGGTAGTATTTTGAGAATGGACCAGACATTGCAGAGGAACAACCCAGAGCTCAGTTCAACCACGGATTCCAAGATTCACAAATCACTGCTCGCTACTGCTGTAGAGGATGATTTCATCAGAAACCACATGCACGTGTAACAGCTTATGACCAGAACGCACCTCTCAATAGATCAAAACAGGTGATCAAACAGCCGAACCATTACATGAAGACAGATGATCCTTGGAAGACTTGTGTAGCAATCGACCAGAGACCCCAGAATCGTTTGAGTCCATGTTCAAGCCATGAACCACCCAAGAGAGCTGATATAGTTCAATTCAACTAGGTATAATACCGTATAACCATGTATAACCCCTAGGGCTCGTGGCCGCCCCCTCCGTTTCGGTTCGGTGGCAAAAGAGGCGCGTGGGGTTTGGGGGGTCCAACCACCGAACTCGGGCCGAACTCGGAGCCCACGACGGGAACGACAACGTGATGAGTGCCCACAAGCGATAGTGCCAGCGGTGTGTTGTCTGGTTCAAGTCGCTTCAGCAGCCCTGCTGCGTGCGGTCGACGTGTTGCAAGACAACGGCGGAGTCGTGATAGACGTGCCTCAGAGTGCCTGGTAGACTGAACTGGGGGGCCATGCTTGGTAGACTGAACTCGTGTGATGCATGTGGATGGATGGAGCCACCTTTGGCTGAATCGTAATTCTTGGACCGGTTGCTGGTGGCTAGTTTGGAGAGTCCATCAACAAGCCGAAATGAACCAGTATTTGGGGCTAATTATACTTCAATTTCAAGATGTTTACTGTTTGACCCAGTCAGTATTGTTGAAGCATGCTGATCATACTGAAACAGGTTACAAAAGAACAATATCATGTAAGATAGAAAACAACCGACAAACAAACATGCGCATGGAACAAAGCAAGGACATGGAATTGAGCGGTGTTTATTGGCCATGGGTTTTAGTGTGTGCCGTAAGATCCCAAACTTGATCCCAGTTTTACATCCAATGATAGCAAAGACGGATGACCAGAACAGCGGGTACAGCGGTTCTTTGGATGGCAATTGAGAGTCGCGATTCGTGGTTGACATGTGCATGACATCTGTTCCCATCGGAAGGCGAACGCCACTGTCGGCCGCCGACAGGTCAGGGCGTCGCAGGTGGAAGAAACCCTGCTGACCCAACGAACCCTCGACCGTGCGACAAAGGAAGCGATCGAGGGTGTGGGGGGCGTCTCACGCCATCGGATCGTTCTGCACTTCCGTCCAACGCTTTCGTCGCGAAGCTGCCAGGAGGCGTGGCATGCCTGCGAGCATGGCGACGACGAGCCGCTCGGCGAACCGACCGTAGGAACGGTGCCGCTTTGGACTGGTCGGCGGGTTTCATGGGTTTCTGCATGGGATTAGCGCAGAATGAGTGAGAAGTGGGAAGTGTTTGTCGATGTTCCCTTCCTTTGACCCAAGAAAGACGGGTCTTCTGCTTCATGTGACAATAGTGTGTCCACCCAGTGACACACCACCCTTGCACCGATGGATAGAGACTGATCGATCTGGTCACCGATGGACGCCGAGGCTTCAGAAGACCCTCTCTGCGGTCACGGTACCCTTGCTCGGAGCTCTGCGGGCCCCTCCGACACTGTCCGTGCCAATAACAAGCTCAGGCTCGGACACGGCACAGGGTCAGTTGACGCATACAGTATATTGTATTATTCACACAGAACATCTTTGGGAGGGTACAAAGGTTTCGGAGTTTGTTTGTCTTTGAATATACCAAGCCAGTTCCTTAAAAAGCCGGGATACGTATGTCCACAGCATAGAGACCGTTGCCTTTGAGAGTGTTTTGAATATGTGCACCTTATTGAACAAGGCGCCTAGACTGTGCAAGAGCAAGGCACATACTGCCAGGCTCAAACATTGAGAGCACAGATTTGCAAGCATTTTGGTCCCAACTGTAGTGGGTCACTAGAACACAACAAGCACGAGGAACACCATGGAAACCCTAGGCACTCTGGTGATAGAATCCACATCCACATTCACGCTGCATGCTGTATGCGTGCAGCCTCCACCTGTTCCACTTGTTGCTCCACCCTGTGGTTTTCACCCACGAAGACGACACCCACACCCTATCATAAGGGCCCCTCATAGGGGCTCACCCGACATCATCCATCAGACCAGACCGATGTAGCAAGCTATATTGAAGCTAAGGGGACGACTGGCTGAAGAAACGTAGGTAAGGAATAGGGAGCATTAGGAAGCGGGTGTCCGAACGCAGCTTCAAGCTTTGCACTTCTTTGGGGCGAACGGGAACGTGTTCGAAGATGTGTACAAAGCAAACTTGAGGTACACCTGGGCTGAGCTTGACGATGCGAATGAAAGCGGATGTTCAGTGGAATATACTCCAACATTGAATCGATGGGACCAATGAGTTGTTTTTGACTCGATTCTATACCTTGGAGCACTTGCAGCAGACGTGGATGGTGGACGTGGACTCAACTGTCCCTGCTTTGCAGCTGAAGCATTTTCCACGTCGGAAGAGTACCTCTAGAGCAGACATCCAGTATCAGACACGGTCAAAGTCAAAGTGAGAAATCAGACAGTCAGAGATGCGTTGGTTTCTTTGCAGGAATACAGCTGGTGAACGTGAAGATCTAAACAAGAGTTACACTCCCTGGAGCAATCATGGAAGTGGAAAAATGGCCCGTTGGATGAGCATTCTCCTCCACAAACAGGTGGTCTTCCACTTCCATGTTAGTGACTTGGAGTGTAATCCTTGGAGCAGGATTCACACTAACAAATCAGGTCCAATTTCTTTGAGTAACGGCTGAGTGGCTCGGAAATCGAAAAAGAAAGATGAACAAAAACAATCCATCTTGGCTCGACGTTCAGCAGCATTCTAGCAGGAGAGTCATGCATGAAGTAACTTTGTCCAAAGAGCTGTCAAACATTTAGGTTACTCAGTTGAAGGAAATGGGGCAGTTCATTTGCTGCAAACCTCTTTCGGTGTGGTGGGCTTCTTCACCTGCCGAAGTGGAGAAGACGACACCCAACAGAATTAAGACCATTTCCAGTCGATGCATTAAGACACTACCAACACGATCCAATACGTCGCAAAGGCTAAACTTGCTAGCTCCAATGTTTGGCGGGACAAGATGCGGGTGTCACCCATATCCCTTGCCTTCACTAAAATTTGACAGTTCCTTTATGTTCCCTCCATTGAACTGTACTACCTAGACGCTCCGTTCACAGCCCTTGGTCCCTCAAAACTTCAGGGATTGGTTCGACCCCAGACCCATCCAGAGGATTCGGGACCGATCCCTCCATATACCAGGGTCGCGGGGTAGGGCGGAATTTGCCTTTCAGATGTTTGGCCACTTAATTACTGTAAGTACTTGTGCTTGTATAGAGACCCAACCCACACAACGATTCTTAGATGTTTTGAAACCACACCTCTTGGCAGCTTGGTGTTTTGGCATGTCAAAGAAAACGAGTCAGATGCTTCATCGAGGTTCCAGACTGCGTCCCCTTCCCCACCTTTTTGGGCAACCGCACACTCTCGTGCCAGGCACCGTGTCGCCAGCGGTTCCCAGCCATTTCTCGTCCATTTGTGTGCTGCCAGGAATGCCGGTCGGGTGTCCTGGTCTGAGGTTTTCGCACCTGAGACGAGCACCTGGAAGCGATGACTTGGTATGATGCCATGGCGGCCTTCGGAGCCAATCCTGAGTGCTAGAAGGACCATCTTTAAAACAGATACAGCATCCACCTCCCAAAAACGAAAAACATCATGTTCTGATCCCAGGGGCCAAGTGGTTGGGAAAGAAAGAGCCCGAAGCTTGGCTTGGCGGCTTAGCTTTGTAAGACCTTCTGGACACCGGGAGGGCTGGGGAAAGCCTTTCACATGGACGATCCCCAACAAGCGCATCTAAGAGCATGAACCATCCAAACCCAAACCATCCATATTTATATATATATATATGGAATACCTGACACTCCATGCAGTATGTTATGTCTACCTTGACCTCTGAAACCATGCCAATCTAGGCGTACAGGGCCACTCCCATGGAGGGCGTTGGAATCATCCATTTAATGCATTCAGCATGTCCAATCATGGCTGGTGATTATTTCAAACATGGATGACGTGGGTACCGTGTCAAAATGTGTGACCCTTCTTTTTCCAACCGAAGCCCGCGCGACACGTCACGTGAGCACTTCTCGTTGCATGTCTCGCCCAGGCACCGATGGTCCACCCACATGTGCGGTGAGGGGAGAACGTGTCACTCCGGCGGCGACTCCCAAGGAAGCGCCGGGGTCACAAACGCGGGAGCAGAGCGCGCAAACGCGGAAGCAGGAGACCGAGAAAAATCATGTTGTCCATCCGAGACAAAGGAAGAAGTACTAAACAACTAAAAGGAGGTCCATGGTAATGGGATGATCTCAACTTCGCCCTTCTGTGGAACCATGAGGAGTAAATCCTGAGACAAACGATGCCATATAGTCACTAAGTTGTTGTGCCCAATATAAGGACCAGAGGGATGGTCAGCTTTTCTTCGTCTTGCCAAAAGACATGTGTCCGTAAGTGTCACCTACTTCTACCGTGGTTCTGTCACAAGTGGATACAAATGGATATACAGCATTGACATTTGCATATATATGGAAGCCACGTGCATGTACCGTTGCCTACTGTAGTGTGTGTGTTTTTACTTACTGTCAGCAACCATGGGGAACCAGACCTAATTTTCAGCATTCATCACTGAGTCTCTCCTAGGAAAACAAAAGGAGGAACCAGACATGCTATATCACCGTAGATGTTCCTTTCGCGGAGGGCCCCTTAATTTTGTGCGCTTTGGCACCACGAGAATTTTGACACTCTCAAAAAGCCGGTGGTACAAGGAGTAGGATGGATTAGGAATCACCCATTTTGCTCACAAGGTCACTTCTTTTTGTAGGGTTCTTGGGGGTTCGAAACATGGGGCCATCCATGCCACCAGCATGTGGTTGCCAAACTGTCCAAGTCCATGAAAGGTGGTGGATCTGTGAAAAGTGTGACTTGTCGGGTTTCCGTGAAACTGTTTGTTTATATATAATATATATACATAGATAGATATGTCATGTGATACGCGTGATTGATATTTATGTTGTATTTAAATATGTTGTTTCAACTACAGTAACTATTTGTTGACATGGCATGGTGTTTTGCGTGGTTGTTTTTTTTTTCTCAGGGTCGATGGATGTTTGACGTTAGAAAACTGACTGAGGACTTCGTAGTTGCAGGGAGAAGCCAGCCCCAAACCAGAAAACAAGATGTTCCACGTATAGATGGATTAAGTCCATGATTGATCCTCCTCCTCCTCGCACCATGGAGCATGGCCGTCTCCGTGCTCGTCATGAATGAAGCCAATGAAACATGACCCGTTGCAATATCCGATACTGTAAAGTCTTTCACACATCATTGCCCAACTTCTCCCCAGCTTCCTCACCAGGCAGTTTGTAGACGCAAAGCTCACGGTGGAGGTCGGACATGAAGCATATCCTCAGCACATCCGTCAGATATATCTCCCAACAAGATCGCGGAACCTGCACCGAGCCAGCTCCACCACCGAACACCCTACAGTGATCGGACCAAACAGCCCACACACTCCGTGGCCGCGCGGCTCCCCGTGACGTACCTTCTCGCGTGCCGAAGCCCGGGGGCGAAAAAGAATCGGGTCAACCGCCCCTTCTGCGGCCCAACCGCTTTGACCCTCAGACGATCCTGAAGAATGCTGAGATACCCTGAGTCTAAGTCCTTCCAGTCAGGTGACGCTTCTCTTTAAAAAGGGTCAGACAGCCGGGGTTCGTTTTTGTACCTCCTTTTGGGATGATCTGGGAGACCCGGATTCTTCCTCTTCGGTCTGGCGTTTGGGGCGAATGGTCCAAGGACCACCCGATTTGATGTCCTTTGGGAAGAAGAAGATTGGTCGATTTGGTACCATTCACTGTGGGGGTTATCCCTATACTATTCATCAAGCAACCAGTAAAAGTCTCAAGAGTGGAATCGAATCTTTTTCGAGTCTCGATTGGAAATCCACCACACACAGCCCGAACCCTTCGAGGTGCTGTTTGTCAAGCTCTTTGGGTGAGCAGAGTCCGAAAAAGACGATAATTGTATAGCAGATTGGACCCAAAATGGTAGTTTGGGGTAGTGTGTATAGTGTTTGCGCACCACTCGCTTCTGGGAAAAGCATTGTACCAACAAGTGACACCTCAAGTGGCAAACCATGCAAAGCAGTTTCCATCATAGCCACTTGCATAGTTAGTTCGCTCCAGAGGTGCCACCAAAATAGCTTGGTGGAGGGGTAGCTGGACTAGCTGAAGCTGGGCTTGCTGGTTTGTTTCGCTTGTTGTTGGGACCTTCAGCCCGAAAACCAGCACCCTTTAGCAGGTCTTTTGTGTGTGACCAATTGGCGAGTTGTGACCTTCAAGTGGCGGAACATATATGTGCTTGTTCTTTCAATCAAATGTTCGATGCCATTGCACTGCTCTCAATAAAGGCCTGATCAAGATCTTATGGCATCATGTATGGACCAAGGTCTCAATCAAGTTGTGTTGTTCTGCTCCTTTTTGGAGCATAACAGCAAAGCACGCAAAGCTCAGAGGAGGGAAGGCATGCGGGAAGACTTCAGATCCGCTAGCCGCTAGCCAATGGAATCTTCTCTTTGACTCGACAGGGGTTGATTTGTTGGTCTTTGACTGCTTGAGGGAGTGGAAAAAAATGCCGGAAAGCAAACATCAGTGGCTCCATATTCAGTCTCATGTAGTAACCATTTGACTGCTGGCTGTCATACTGCCTTGATTTAGATGTCTATCATTGGATAAAACGATCTACTCGGCTTGTAGGCGGCTTAGTCCCCTCGTCGGCAGCCCGGCAGGCGAACAAGTTGTTTGGTTGGAAGGATGGAAGTCCAGTGATGCAGTACACCAGCAGGGGCATCAACTAATGTGGACTCTTGGCTGATAAAACCTCCCCCATCATCCCCCCATTTTGGATTTGCCAGGACCATCCAAGGGGTGTCCAATGGACTACCCCACACTACCTATAGGCTACCTTTTGGATGGTCCAGGTATATAAATTGCAATCTAAAATGGAGGGATCGATTAAGAGTCTACATGTTCATTCATGTTCTGTTGTGTTCAAACCAATACCTGGGAAGCCCTGAAGCGCCAAGGGATGGTGCGGAGCATTTTTCTGCAAGGGTTCGAACCCGTTTTGTGTGATCATCCTGGAGTAGAGTAGACAAAAAATGAACCAATCCAAAAACACAACCAGTTTCTTATGTCGTTGTTGTTCCCATATTCTATCTAGTCCAGGATGGCTTATGCATTTAACCCCGTTTGTGACCCATAATGTAAATAAGCTATTCCTATTCATTCTATAGAATCGCCGGGTGATATGACCTGCAGGGGGATGACAAAGCCATGTTGACTTGACATGAAACTGGCCACTTGCTTCTGACGGCTGCCGGCACTTGACTGAAGGAGCATGGTTGTTTCATCAAATACCCCTAATACAATCCATGGGACTGGCATGGTTGCATACATTGTTCAAGATAGTTTTAAGGATGAATGTAGGTACTGTCCCATGTATGGTCTGGAACCGCGTGAAAAAGGATGACCACGTCCACCGAGCTCTACCTGCAAACACAAATTGAAAAGCTACATGGAAGTGGAGTTCACCACCTGTTAATTGAGGATATTTGTTATCCGACAGGTCATTTCTACTTCAATGATTGTTTCAGCTGAGTGTCCTGATGGATTACCATGACTGGGCAGGGTACGTTCCAAGCAGAATCTGGAGGTTCCACCACCTCAGAAGGGATCTTGATACATTATGTGTATGCTTCGTTGTTCGCAGATGCGGAATCAACCTCTCTGTACGCCTTACTGAAGTTTAAAACCCTCAAGTGCACCTCCTGAGGGCCTGGTGAGCTAGAGGACAGGGAAATTTGTTGCACAGTCACTTTTGTGGTTACACTGTTACACTATACACTGGCTAATTCTTTTGTGGATTCTGGGCCGTGTCACTAAGTCCAGGGGCTTCAGTAGACTTTACCATACCCATGTGTGGTTTGAGTTGTACCCCACTGGAGGTATGAACTGTTGAAGAAGAACAATTGGATAGTGGGTCGAAAGTTAGTATGCTTTCAGAACACGAAATGCATTATATATATATACTGTATATATCCCTAGGGCTCCAAGTACCTTCTCAGAAGGTGTTTGGAGTGGGTTCAGAGGGTCCAGATACCTTCTGAGGAGGCACTTGGAGCCCTATAGGGTATGATATGAACAAATCTTGTTTGCAACAGAACATTCAAGCTCACCAGCACCTTTGCAGCAGCTCTCGACACGAGCTCGAGAATTTGATCGGTTCGTTTCACGAAGGAATACGAATCGATTCTTTTGTCTTCAGAGGATCTCGAGCTATGCAGTTCAGCAATGAAGTGAGCTTTTGTTGACATGATATTTGGTCAACAAACTGTATGTCAAATATCCCATGCCATGTATCACACAAGAGGAAGGATGTCAAGGACTTGGTCCACCCCGTGGTGCAAGAGCATGCGGTCCGGAAGGCTTGTAGTTTTGCCTGGCTCGTCTCACGACCCTCTCCACCGGATTCCACCGGCAACACGCTGCTGTTTTAGGCAGACGAAAGCCAACTCGGGCTGGCCTGCGCCGCGCCGTTGGAACGGCGTTTTCGGCGTTTTGGCCAGCTAAGTCAATGCGCGTCCAATCAAAAGGTCAGTCATCCCCCGTGGTTCGTCGTCTCTACGACGCCTGGAGGGTCCCTCAGGACGACCCTTTTGGCGTTTCGTCCGTCAGCTCGAGTTTTGGACGGACGAATCAGGGGGGCGCCATGAGTCCATGGAGGGTTTTCAGTTCAATTACCACGCCGGGGTCTCCTGGCCTACCTCCGTTTCGGTGAAGGTGCTTGGGGTGGATTTGAGGGGTCTACCTGAGCTCTTCTGACGGTGATGATGTGTTTGGAGTCCTGTAGATTACAATTCTACAGTAACCGAAAGGTCCATCTCACGTGATCTTCCGAACTGAGCACCTGCCACCGATGAAGGAACCTCGCACCAATCGACCAGCGATGCAGTTCTTGGTATCAAGCGGTCGACCACCGATGCAGCTTATAATTGGGTGTGTATATTAAGAGGGAGACCTACGAAATCGCTCCCTTGACTGTGTAGACTGGTCTGTATATTTCCCTTCGAACCCAGGGAGTTCTTTGGGAGGTCTCCCTGATTTAATACATCATACAATTGCTTTGGTGCTGGAAAGCACGGCGCCCATGGGTGGAAGAAGTCAGTGAAGAAGTCCTGCACATGGCGCAGCACATGGTTCCCATCACAGAACTGTGTAAGCAGTGAAGCTTCATGCACGTTCATGAAAGTTCCAAGTGCCTGGCCTACATATCTTCCGGTCACCTTGGATACTGTAGTCCTTTAGTACCTGTACTTGCCTTCCGTTCCTACATATCTTCCGTTCCAAAGAGGCTGAAAAGGTCTTTTACTACTTGGCCCCTGGAGAACCCACGTGGTACGCCGCAACGCAGATCTGGGCTGCCTACAGCTGCTGCGAACATGGACGTCGCCTTTGTGTCATGTTCCAGGCTTTTGACAGGGTGTGCCCGGTGGGTCAAACATGGCCGTGAGTGACAAAGATGTTCTGCATGCAACAGATTCTGCGCACAAGTCGGCGCTGTAAATTCATTTCATTTTTGGAGTCCTGCCACTGAATTGCGGTGTGTTGAAGCATCTTGAAGCTGGTGCACGTGCATTGGTCAAGGAAGACGCGTTCTGAGGTTCTCAGTGTTCAGGAATCTGGCCTCTATGTCATGGGTTTCTCAATGAGGTGCTGTGGCATATATTGTTTTCCTTGTTAAAAAAATGACTGTAGAATTGTAAAATCCTCAGTGGCACCTATTTTAGAAGCCGTGGGGAAACCTTTGTCTTCCCACATAAGTTTCTATCACGGTCTCACATCTCCAGGATGGCCATCCGAACGCATGTTCCGCAGCCCATTCCATTCCTGCCCGTTCCGAACCCGGCATGTGTCGGCTCGAACGAAACAGTCGTCCGTGGAGCTCGGGAGAGCCTGCGGAGAAGAGGGAGGTGGGACTGTTCATGTTCATATATGGAAGTGATTTGGGACTCTCCACAGGACTCATTGGTTTCCCACTTGACTGGACTGTCAACCTTTTCAGATCCTTTTCAGTTTGCACTTGCATTAATTAGTTTGAGCACGCCAGGGCCAGCTTGCTTTTGGGGCTTGAGGTGACCTGACCTATCTTCAAGTTGATCAAAAGGTGAGGTGGGGGTCAGTGCCTCCTTACCTACGAAGCAGAAGGCGGAAATGGTTGAAGCAGTCGTTCGGGCCACTTTGTTTGAGGCGATAACAGACGGTATACGCCACTCTGGATGGGTCATAGGCTGCGCCTGGCCACACGACCTTCAGATCCGAAAAACGAGGCATGACGCGTTCTGGTGTGAAACACCTTTGGCAACACCTTCAGCTAGCCAAGTTGAGATGATTTTTTCACTCCAGATGCAACCAAACTAAATAGAAATCGACTGGTGTTTTTGGGGTTCAGTTGACTTCTTTGCTTGGGCTTCACTCGACACACGGTAGGGCGGCGAACCTCGCGCGCGGGGCACCATGCATGGACTCATCCATCTGGTCTTCAAGAACTTTGTGCTGGAAACCTGGGGTGAAGCAGCTTGGACGGAAGTGCCGGACTGGACGGAAACGACCTAATGACTGGCCGAGTGGCAAGGGTTGGTTTTGGGGATCGATTGGGCGGCATGGATTCCAGTCCCATGGATGGTCTGGGGACTGGAAGCGCCATGGATGTTGCGGGGCAGGTGTTGCGACGAGTGTTCTGCGGGACATCCCTAAAACGTGTGAAAACTCCATCCAACGCAGTGCCGCTGGGGAAGTCCCAATTGGATGTCACAAGTAACTGTGTGACGTGTGTGTGTGTGTGTGAGAGTTTGGATGCAGAATTCCTCGCGACCGAAAGACAGAAACGGTACAAAAGAAACCGGTGCCAAGGCTGGACGACAAGAGCCTTGAATCTTCCGTGTCATCAACAATGTGTTTTCCTTTAGAACGATTTGGTGTATAGATCTATGTCTTGTTTTGTTTCTTTTTGTGGGTGGCCCATCATCCATTGTCTCATGCAATCGAACAACTGTGCTACGCAACTTGACAGTTATAATACAGTGCATAGAATTTATAGTGATTCTAGTGTTGTCATTTTGAAGAATCCGCCCGAACCAACATAAGAGACCCTCCGAACTGGAGGGTCCGTTCCAGTTGAGCCCAGTCCCTCCACGCTGACCCTCCGAACCCCTGGCGGCCCCTGGGCCCGGACCACGGGGACCGAGCTGTGAGGGCGGAATCTGAAGTTGGAGAGCTTCCACAGATCGTACCAGTCCCTCCAAAATGTGTGAAGTGAAAAAAGGGTACAAGACGTAAAGGCCAAGGCCGCCAAGGCGGCCTTGGTGAACGATCTGTGGAAGTTGGCACGATCTGATGGAGTGACGAATCGAGGGTGGCTTGGATCAATCATTGAAATATAACATGTTATAACCCGAAGGCAGTCCAAAGTCAGGGAGGTTAGGTTCCCAACAATTTATCTCTGAACCTTGCAGGGGCGTTTCTCTGCGACCACTCCTCCCTCAATTTGGAAAGTTTGATTATGACAAATACCGTGGCTGGATGTTCCATGATGTTCCATCATGAGCTTGATGTTTCAATCAATCATACCAGTAATCATAACTATATAGTAGGTCATGCTCTGGAAAACAAGATGCACCGAACCCACGTGTATGATGATTATAGATAAATATAATAAATATATGATATGTTATGTTATTTTTTGAATATGATCTTTTCTAAACAACAAACACTTGCAGGTTTTTGGGTCGCTCACGGCGCATGGTGCGTTCCTTTTGGTCGCACGGGTGCTGCGTTTCAGGACGCCTGGAAGACGTGCCTCGAAAAGGCGACGGGACCGGACGACCCGAACGGGATGGCGGCGGCGGCGGCGGCGCAGCGGCGCAGCGGTCCCGGGACGGACCTGGTGGTTCATTCATATAAGTATACAGCCTGGTACCTGGGGGTGGAGTACCTGGGACAAGTACTGGTCTATTATAAACTATAATAGAATCCCTGGTTTTTGCCAAGTGTATCATGGTAGCATTCATAGTACCAGGACCAAGTGTACAAGCTGGTATATGGGTCCTTGACCTTTCTGAACAGGGAGACTTCTTGTTCTTGTGGAGTTCTAGACTCATCGGTATACCAGTCAGCGGTGCGACAGGGAGTTCCCACTGCTTGTTTTCGCGGTATAATATTATGGTTCCCAAGTTAGGGTGGTAGTATTTGTAGTGGTAGTAGCAATAGTAGTAGTGGTGGTAGTAGTACTACTGGTGGTAGTAGTAGTGGTGGTGGTAGTAGTGGTGGTAGTAGTAGTAGTGGTGGTAGTAGTAGTGATGGTAGTAGTAGTAGTAGTAGTAGTAGTAGTAGTAGTACTACTGGTGGTAGTAGTAGTGGTGGTGGTAGTAGTGGTGGTGGTGGTAGTAGTGGTGGTAGAAGTACTAGTGGTGGTGGTAGTAGTAGTAATGGTGGTAGTTGTGGTGG